GCTGATGGCCCCCGGGGACTCTCCGCAGGCCAGGGGGGCAAGTTCTGGTACGTGGCAAACAGCGGGTCGGTGTGCAGTGACGGGGACCTCTCCGAGGATTTCTTCTTCGAGTTCCGGGAGCGGGGACGCGTCGCCATCAAAGGGAAGAACGGCCGGTATCTACGCGGGGACCCGGCTGGCACCCTGCGCGCCGACAGCGAGTCCGTGCTGCGGGCCACGCTCTGGGAGTACTGACCCACCTGGCACCGGCCCCCCGCCGCGGCGTCCCCCAGTCCACCCCGCTCCCAGGCTGGCCGAGGGCACCAGCTCGTCCCCAGGCAAAGGATGGCAGTGGAGCCGACGGTGGCACCATCCATGGCAGCTGTGTCCCCGACCCCCCTCGACTCACGGCATTAAAATCAGTTTGGATCACAGGGGGGCAGCGCCTCGTCTTCCTTTGCCTCCCGCAGCGCCCGAGGGCAGGGGTGCCCACACCCCGAGGGCTGCCCGGGTGAAGCCCCGGGATTCCCTCCCCCCCGTCCCCAGCCTGGGGCCTGTAACCCCAGACAGAAAGTGCTGCCCCATGGGAGCCCCCACACGCCAGAAAGGGCCAATCCTGCCCGGGCATCCCGGCTCTGCCACTGCGCTGGGAGGCGGGGACCGCGGGGCTGCCGCAGGCAGAGCTGCCAGGGGGTGGTCGCAGGGGCCGGGGGTGCCACTCAGGCAGTTGGGGATGGGTGCTCGGCAAAGCAAACCTGCTGCGGGCAGGACCCCGAGGGGGCTGCGCAGGGAGCTGGAGCCCAGAGGGGCCGGGATGCCCACAGACCCTCTGCCAGGCTGGGGGAGGAGAGAGGGGCTGCCAGGGCTGCAGACCCCCCAGGTGGGCAGGGTGATACGGGGCGAGGAAGACGTGGTGCTTCCAACACCGAGCGCAGGGTACGGCCCCGGGGCTGCAGCCAGCAGCATCACCCCGAATGCGGTGGGGCCACGGGGGCCGGCGGTGGCAGCCCCCCACGGAGCTGGCAGGGCTGTGCTGGGAGATGGAAAGGAAAAGAGACGGGCACTCGCTGAGCGGCACGATCGTTTTCATGGCAGACGACAGATTTACAGACACTGGAGCGGTGCGGGGAAGGACTGGGCCAAAACACGCTGCACCACCACAGAAATACAAGATCATTTATAGAAACAACGGGGGAGCGGAAAACCCCCTCCCCTGCCCAGCAGAAAACGGGGCTCCCCCGGGCGGGCACCCGCTGGGCACCCTGGCACAGCACCCTGTTTGTCCTGATCCTGAAAGGCAAGGCGGCACGGGGGCACAA